ACCAGCAGTTTACAACTCGACTAGGCTCGCATGACCTCGCAGACTGGACTTCGCAGATTGAACAAGATGTTGACAAGTGGTACGAGCTATATGGCTCCAGTCTCGGCGGCATATTCTTCGACGAAGGGTGGCCAGAGTGTGGTCCCAACAACATCTATGCAGATGTATATGCATACATCAACAACTATACGAAGCGGAAGTACCCTGGTGCATTCACAGTACTCAATCCTGGCTCGCCCATAGCTCAGTGTTTTGAAAACACCATGGACACGTTATTGACCTTTGAAAACAGCTACGAGGCTTATCAAAGTGAGTATACTCCTAACGATTGGACGCCCAAGGACCCCCGAAAGATATGGCACATCATCTTCCAAGTACCACAGGGCCAGATTGCAGGTGTTGCTGCTCTTGCCTCGAGTCGCCATGCAGGGTTCGTAGAAATCACTGACGATACCCAACCCAACCCATACGACAACCTCCCCAACGAAGCTTACATGCAAGCACTCATCGGCGCTGTAGCAGGTGGCAAGCCTCGCGCTGCGGATCCAGCTACTTTCAGCGGCTCCTACGTTGCTGGGCTTCCAGCAGATGCAGCCGTCTCCTCGTCCGACTATAGCTCCGTCACCCTCACTTGGTCCTCGGTCGGGAGTGCCCTTGGGTACGCCGTCTACAAGAACGGTGTACGGGTCGTGGAACTGCCACCTTTCATGACCAGAGCGACGATTGCTATGCTCGAACCAGGAACCTCTGGTATGACCTTCGAGGTTAGGACCATCCTCGCAACGGGCAGTGGGGGCCAGAGCCGGTCTCTCTCGGGGAGCACGAAAAGCCTACCGTCCACTGGGACCGTCAGCAATGTTGGCTTCACCACCGACGGTAACACGGCAACCTACAAGGCGGACGTCTTGGTTCCTTACGGATTCGTTCGTCTCTTCCTCGGTATCAAGCAACCCGATCCTGGAATCGGAAGAGGTTGGCCAATCCACTCGCCTGCCCTAGGGGGTCCTTCGGGTGAGACTGCCTTCCATCAGATCGTGAATTACCTCGTCGAAGGTAACAGTTTTTACTCTGGCTTCAGCAAATACACTGGCACTTGGTACGAGCTAAGCCCTGACAATGCGGAGTGGTCGTGGGAATCTATCGGGACTGCACCACAGACTCAGAATGGGTATACATATACGTGGACCGTCCCGTTGGCGGGTACTGATGCTGTGGCCAGCGAATATCTCATACAATGTCAAGGATACGCCCCGCTTAACAATGTCTTCAAGGGAACTCTTCGTCACTACGGCAGTGTATAGTCTGGTAGGAAAGAAAACTCTTGAGTCTTTGGTTTACATTAGCGTCTAGCTTGATTACTTTAAAGAGAGGGTATACTTTACTTACTAGAACAATAATGATAATCAATACCTTGTTGCAATTAACATAATATCATCCGATCCTACTGAATAAGTATAATGGGCTTCTCAAAGTAATAAATCGAATCCTCTTTTTACCTCTTCCAAAATACAGTATGTATAAGGTAACGGAACCTCGGATGTGTGAATTCGCAATGTGAACTTTCCCTCACCACAACCCGTATCATCTATTATCAGATAGTAATAGTTTCCCCTTTACTAACCCAAATCTCCCTACTCCAACTATCAAACCTTAAATCACACAATCCAGACCCCAAAAGGCCCCTTCAACGCCATCAAACCTTATCTACCGGGAACCCCCAACACATACCCGGGTCATACCCGAGACCTACCCGAACCCTCAACATCCCCTCAAACAACCACCTCAAATCCCACATCATCCCAAAAACAACCCAAGAAGACGAACAATAATTCCTTCTTCCCTTCCCAACCCTAATCTCGGGAAATACACATCAGCCTGAATCCAGAACCAGATACTCCAGTATCATGAATGGCCTGATTCCCCACGGGTTCGGGAGACCAAAAGTGGGGCGGGCACGACTCGCGAGGGTCGACATGACGAGGTGCTGACTCGATTGAAGATTTTGCGATGTGCAACAAAGAGGTCGTGGGGAGAGGGGGAAGGAGGCTGAAATGGGGGCGGGTGGCTTGCTGAGGTGGTATTGTGGTGGGGAAGGAGGATTGGGAAAGGGATGGGGGGTGGGTGATGGGGAGGGGGAGATTGATAGGTTGGTTTTGAGGGTTGGGTCGCCGGGGTGGGATTTGAATGATATGAATGGTTTGTTGAAGAATCATTTGTATCTCTTTTGGTAAAGTGATGGGTGATGTATAAATTAGAAGGATTACTTTTGAAATGAACGTCGCGGTGTGGTTGTCGGAGGATATATTATTGATTGGACGGTATCAAATCTGATAATTGATAACGGAGATACCACCGAAGGTTGGGCATCCTTCGTGTTATGGACATCTGATAAGTGATATCGGCGATACCACGACAGGTTCACGAGTGTACAAAACGCTCCATAACGGTATCTAATGGCACAAATTTAAATTCGGGTTGAATTTACTGCAACTGCTTTATTACTCAACTTGTTGTAAGTCCATGTTTTTATCAATTGAGGTTGTGATGGCACATGAGTTTCGTCTATCACTGTATCACTTGACAAACTTCAATTGCTCAAGAATACTCCGCTCAAATTAAATCTATTCATTGAATTTGGTGTCATTTCTCACTATACTAATTAAATCAAAGCTACATAATTCTACACTCATCCTCGTCCCCGAAATATTATCAAGCATCAAGCACGCTGTCCCTCTTCGCTACAATCTGCACCTTTGCCCATTTCAAATGATCAGTGACCTACTCCTGAATACTGCACTTGCAATGTCAGGCGTCACCTGAATTATGTCCTCGTCGAGATCGACTCTTTTATTCCTCCATCATAAATCGTTCCTTTCAAAATTACTCAGGCTTTTTTTTTGGTTTTTTTGCCCTATAATGACTTCGTTGTGCTGGGAGAGCCCAGTGAATATCGAAATATCTGAGAAGCCGCACTGATAAACAAGCTATGCGTCGCCGGTATGCTTGGTGATGTTGCAGGGCTATGGATCCGATATGACTGCTAAAGCTGTCGAGCTCGGAGGATCACTCTGAACTTTCTATCGTATTGAAACTGCCACTCAGAACGCAAATGCGAGCGCAGCTTCCTGGACTGTGGAATTTTGAAGACCAGGAGTAGGACTCTCCACTCTCAAACCTCCCTCTCCCTCAGATGACTCAACATATCCTCCTTGGTCAGTTTCCTCATCACTTCCCCAGAGAGCATCAAACCCCCACTTTCTCTCTTCATCAGAGTCCTTACAACCTTCCCATGTACTTCCACCTTCTCCATCACCAAGACACAACGTATCGCTGCTCACTTCGCTAGCGGCGTCAGGAGTTGGACTCTTTGGTGGAACACGCATCTTGGCTTGAAATGCATCGCATGCGGCGTTCAAAGCTAGAAGACGGGGGTTGCAAGGACCGAGGACGTTGTTGTGATACTTGTAGGCTTTCGCAGGAGTAGTTTCCATATATTCGGAGAAGAGACGTGGAGTAATGTTGTTGTTGAATTCAAGGTTTGAAGTGGTTAGTTTCTTGCCTTTACTTGCTGAAGCAGAATTGAAGTCTTCGGCTATGCTAGTCCGTCTTCGTTTTGATGAGGACTCCTTGAAACGAGTGGGCAAAATTAGCTCTATGTCATATAGATCTACCTCATGGTCATTGGATATGGAAGTCAAGTCTCGGGCACGTTTCTTTGAATCAACAGAGGAAGACGTGTCTCTAGACGAGACTGCAGTCCATCCTCGAGATGTGATTTCAGGCGACACCGGAATCGACTCTGATGATTTGCATGCTTTCTTCTTCCCGCCAAAGACAACTTGATTGCCTCCAAATTGTTTGAGGAAGACGAGTGGAGTCGATGAGCGTGCTTGGATCTTTCCTCGATCTTTCTGAGCAGAAGAGAACTTCAAAGCTTTAGACTCGCCAAAATCATCATGAGTAGTGTGATCCACTGTTTTGGTTCTGTAGCATAGTCTTTTCGTATGAAGCTCGCTGTCGCTTTCCAGACCGGAGTCTCCAAAGGCTCTTTTCAAAACTGCCTTCTCGCTCGAAGGGAGGAGGGTTGGTGAGGCTGCCGTTTTGAGCTCACCACACCCCTCAACAGACGACACCGAAGAGTCAGGCGATTGAGTTGAGCACAGTGGTGGTGTTCGTACCGACATTACGCCAGCAAACTTATCGCCATCCATGACAGTCTTTTCGACCTTCACACCTATCTTTTCCGTCTTGATACCTTGTCCAAGACTTTCTGGGCAATAGAAATTCTTCTGAGTAAACGCCTCATCCTTCGACTCCTCTTTTTCCGAAGTAGCATTGGAGATTCCCAACCCAAGAAGTGGAGGTAGTTGGCGAACTGAATGTTTGACAGCGGGTTTCGTGGTTTGGTCAGACTTGACTTTCGTGAACCAAGAATACTTTGATCTACGAAAAGGTCTCGCAGAGGGTCTTCGACACTCTTTATTTTCAATGTCCCGAGGTAGTCTGGCGTCTGAGATTCCAAGGCCGGAAGGAACTGTTTCGCGGACTTCCTCCACTTTCATCGATCCCACGCGACCAAGAACGCTTCTGCCCCGAGATTTTTTCTCGGCTTTGATGCGAGCGGCATCGATGTCACGATTGTCTGCTTCGATTCTGTCCTTAATTGTAAGAGCCGGAAGTAACTCTGTTTTGACGGAAGCTAGATCAACAGGAGCCGATGATTTTGAAAAACATGGTTCTGTTTGCGTATCACCGATTGTTTCCTTCTTGACGCATGAAGTTTCTGGCTCATTCTTGAAGTGAGAAGGCGAATGAGTGTAGGCATCGATCAGGTTGCAGTTTCGCTGATTGACCAAGAGCGTAACGGAAGTAGGTTCCTCTTTCTTCATGGGGACCGAATCTTCCATTTCTACATCTTCAGTCTCGATCTGCTCGTTCTTGAATTGCAATTCTACTTTGTGCTCAGGATTATCATCAGCAGGAAGATCTTTGCCAAACAAATCTTGACAAAGGTTTGTCCATTGGTCATCCTCTTCGGAACTGACGTTGTCATCGTCAATGTCAGCAGATGTTCTTAATTTGATAGTGGGAGAATTCGCAGAGCAGCGATTTGGTTTGGACTGTGAGATTGGACCAGGCGTGGATGGCAAATCTTCACTTTCATCCTCGCTCGACAGTCCCTCGACAAACCCGTTTGAATCCTCTTCGAATTCTGACAGTCTCGTCAACAGAGGTGGTGTAAACATTGTAGGCTCATCTTCATGTTTGGTAGGTGTATTGAATGAACTGGCTACATGATATGGTGTAAACATTGTAGCTTCATCTTCATACTTGATAGTAGTATTAAATGAATTCGCTGCTTGCGGTGGTGTAAACATCGTAAGCTCATCTTCGTCTTTGATAGGCGTATCAAACGAGCAGGTGAACTGAGGTGATGTGAAGAACGTAGCTTCATGTTCATATTTGATAGGCGAAGCGGCCACTTGAGGTGATGTAAAAAATGTAGGCTCATCTTCATATTTGATGGGCGTGGAAAATGTGTTTGCCAGCCGAGCTCGTGCTAGGTTCCATTGACTCGAGCCAGAGATGACCGAAGTCTGTGGTGGAGAAAGTAGCTGACTGTAGCCATTGTGACGGACAGCTGGAGGTGTTCGAGGGGTCTTGTGTCGACCAATTGTAGGTCGCAGTTGAAGAGCCATTGCAGTCGTCAAGTTCAGAGTTTCGTGTTGTTGTTGTTGTTTGTGTGTGTTTCGTCGACGTGCAATGATTGAACGCGATGGAGAAGAATTGGATTCAAGATCTGGAGAAAGACGCGTCTCAATTGATGATGGAGGCTGGAGTTGACGCGTTTGGAAAACGACAAGTCCAAATGGGTCGTGGTATTCGCGGAGCGAGGCAAGTTAGAATGGTGGAGTGGTGAAAGTTGATTGAAGTGTTGTCGAACTCGAGAAATAGAAGCGTAGAGTGAGATTGGAAGCAATTGGCTCAACACGAGTGCGTAGAGACGGAGAGAGAAGTAGATCGGCGAGATGATGTTGTGTGAAGTGTCGTAAATTCTTCAAAGGTGAAAAATTGGCTGCGGAAACTGGCTGCGGAAAATTTGAAAGATGAGGTCCAGGGTGAATTGTTCGAAGGAAATTTTGTATCGAAGTAAACAACACCCCAGTATGGTGCCCCTAGTCCCAAGTGAATGTTTCTCATGAACTGAGTGTCTTCAAATATGTTCCAGCCCCAAATAATATATCTTCTTGGGCCACCTCAGACAGAAGTTCATGGCATCAGCATTGTCGTGGGTGATATCAAAACAAGTAAATAAACACACCGAATTTGAAACTCTGATAAATTAGACGCAAACAAAAACCCCGTTACTCTGAGGATTGAAAGATACCAACGCGATGCATCAAAATTCCTATATATAAGTACACAAATACAGAATTGTAAATAGGAGAAATTGGTATAAAATATCCCGACAAACATAACTCCAAAAATGCATACCTGCCCATTTTCAAACCTTCAGCGCCTCGAGATTCCCCTCAAGTGTATTGACAGGCTGATCCATCAACTGCCCAATCTTCCAATCCCAATAGCCTTTACGAATTCTGTCATACTTGTTCCCCAGTAATTCCAGCGCCCATTTTGCTTTTTCAACATCTGTCTTTGCCCAGATATCAGCCAGGGAATCCAAGGCATGACTACTCCTAACATCCTCTTCCGCGCCATCTTTTCCTTCCTTGACAAACTCCGCGGCGAATAATTCGAGACTCGAAAGATCACGCCCGCCTTTACAGAGAACGCCACGTAGATAGTTCCAGGGCGACTGGTTCTGAGGAGCTTCGAAGGTTGCGGCTTTAGCGAATTCAATCTCTCGGTCAAGAATATTATCTGGAATTTTTGGGTCATGAGCTGTCGCTGGACTGCCTTCCGTACAGTGTTTTGGGTCATTGAAAACAACGAAGAATCGATGACTCCATGCGCTGTTGTTGCGCACATCCTTCTTTAGAAGCACCTCAATACTCTCGATCTCTGCTTGGTTCCAGAGATTGAGCTTCCTGACGAGGTACTGACGGTAACTCCAAACATGATAGTTTTTCGCATCAGCGTCAAACATCTCAGTCATGAATGCTCTTTCAGAGTCTTCTAGCTCCTTAAGCTTAGCCTCATCGTCCTTGATTTCTTGATACAGGTGGTCGACAAGTAGTTGGCGGTGGTGCCAAATTTGGTAGTTCTTCTGGTTGTCCAAGGCAATATCGTTAACCCACTCGATTTCCGCATGTATTGGAAAGTTGATGGCGAAGAGCGTAGAGGCACGGTAAAGCCAAACAGTATAATGCGCCGGGTTTAGGGATATGATGTGTGAGGTTAAGGCGATGACTCGGGGTGTTTTTTCTTGGGTCGACATGACAGCGCGCAGATATGACATGGCTATCTCTATTAGCATGCAAACAATAACGAATCATAAGCCCAAAGTAGATGGGAGCTAAATACCTTCACTATACTCCTCCGTATAAGCAATCTGTGCAAGCGCTCCCTCCCCATCATCCTGCGCAATAGGAACAACATCATCCCACTCAGGATCCTCCTCATAACGACCCATTTTCTTCCCTCTCAGCACTCCAATTAATTTCCTCCTATTTCTTTCTTCCTCAATCTCGCCTTCAATATCCTCTCCAGCTCTTCCACTTCTCCTTAGCCTTCTCTGACGGTCTCTAAATCTCGTGCTCTCCCTGACTAGTCCCTCCAACCCGCGCTCCCTCTTCTGGTACTCCTCGTATTCTTTTACGCTGTATTTGCTAATATCTCTTCCGTTCCTGTCCCTCCCGAGGTCCTTTGGTTCCGGGAGTGGAACCGGAATCTTGTTCGTCTCTATGTATTTCCAGAAGTCTTTTCGCTGGAACTCGTCCCAGGATTTCCAGATACCCGTTTCGAGCAATCGGGCATACGCGTAATGGGTTTTTTCCGTGGCCGATAAGCTTGCCAGAGGTTTGTGGTATGGTCTTGAATTTTCGTAGGTAGCTTGATGGAAGGCTGCGATGTTGGGATCTGTTTGATATTATTAGAGCCTAAGTGGAGGGAAACAGCTATAAGGCACGATTTCAGGATAGAGATTTGAAAAGCATACACTCTTTTATCGGTTCTGGGGCCTTGGGTTGAGCTTTTGAAGCTTTCGATGGCTTCGGTGCCATTTTTGACGCGGGGATGCGAGGTGGTGGGGTTGACAAAGAAATTGAATTGCCAAATGTCTCAGCCGCAGCCTCGCCAACAATATTAAAGAGAACAATATGTTAGAATACCAAATGCTGAAAGCAGTCTTACCACATTTTAGTTAAGATGATGGCAATTCACGTCCGTATAATTGGGTACTTGACTACATATTAGGTATTAAGTAGGTCGAGCGAACTAGTAACAACTCCTCCTAAATGTACACACTGCCATATGACTGCAGTTAGTCAGCCCCCAAGAAAAACCAAGCATATTTGATATCTCCCATGTTTGTACAAGCCTGTCCTTCCAAATCCCCCATTCGCCAGCTTCCCATTACCGTTGTCAGCGAGACATAATTTCTATTCTTCGACTCTCCAGAATTTCCAGTCTTCTCGAGGTCCATCTTCTCCATGCACGCCAACCAATTCCTCTACCCCTTCGATCCCGTCTGCGTTCAAAAATTTATCTTGATCAATCTCCTCGCCTCCGTGATCGTCGTCGATACCATTTTTGAGCACTGCGGGCATAAGAACTCCAACACCATCACATCCCAGTGTGGTTTGAAACTTCTCATAACCTTCCTCCTCTAGCGTTTCCGCTAATTGATCCAATTTCTCTTGTGGTACTCCGGGCTTAAGAAGCGTAATGGCGCATCCGCCACCACCGGCACCTGTAAGTTTTGTCCAACCAATACCGTTGTGGTCGACCAACTCCCGAATCCTGTCTAACCGTGGATGCGAGACGCCCAAAGCAACCAGTAGCCCGTGATTGATCGTCATTAATTTGCCCAATTCCTCTATACTTGACAACTCATCGCTGTCAAAATCTTCCCTCGAGATCAATTCGGCTGCAGCTTCAGAGACTTTATCGATGGCGTGTAAAATCGATTCAGTGATAGCAGGATGTGCTTTTTTGAGGTTGCCCACTTTCGCAACTTCGAATGCTGTCGATTTCGTCTGTTTCGTATCTACGAGAAGCAATGGCAACTCGGGGAAATTCCAAAGGGGCGTAACCCTTGAAGGTTTTGTGTAATCTGATCTCTGAAAGACAACGGCCCTCCCTTGCGTTGCTACAGTGTTATCAACCCCAGAAGGATTTCCGTGTATACACATCTCACCCACAAACGCCCACCTATTAATTCTTTCCACCTGAAGGCGCACCTCATCCGGAGGCATGTCGCGATGTGGTCCCGCGAGCGTCTGGATCTGCTTCAATAAGGCAGAAGCTAAACAGACCGTCACTGATGCACTACTGCCCAAACCAGCACCGATTGGAATGGTAGATCTTAAAGTGTACTGACAGCCCGGAAATTCTGGATTTCCCAATGATAATAACATATATAGAAATGCGGAAGCCGAGTTCCGATGCACTTTACGCATGTCTTCAGAAGCTCCTTTCGATACATTTTCGAGATGTGGTTCTAGAGCGGCGACAAGCTCAGGATCGAGGTCAGTCACCAATTCGTAATAGTACTTCTTTTTTGAGGGGTCGGCAAAAGTGCTCCAGGGCAATTCGTTAATATCCCAGGTATGTGAGAGGTTGATGTCTGGGAATCGGAGGGAGATGGTACGCTTAGATTTCGAAAGAGGTGTTACGAGGAGGTAGGATCGTAGGGATATCGACGCTGCGACAGCTTTCTGGGCAAAGATTAGCATAATACAACAGACTTGGTTGCGGTATTTACCTTGCCATGAACGACAGCATGTTCTCCAAAGACAATGACCTTTCCTGGCGCAGACACTATGAAGGGTGGCAACATGGCGCTAGATTGTTTTCTGATGTTCGGAATCCTCTTCTTCTTCCCCTCCCCATTGACACTTAATTTCTCCATGCCATTCGCTGCGCCATTGACGCTACCATTCACATTAATTTTCGGCGGCATATCTTGAGATGAAAGACAACTCTCGGTATCAGAGGGTGTGTCAATCTGCGTGCTCGTCGAACTTGAAGACCTGCTGGGTGCTTTTTGTGTAGATATGGACGGTCCACCAAAATTGATCCTTCCACGACCGTTCATTGCCCTCCTACCGTGCCTCCTCCTAACCACAGCCGAAGACGAAACCTAGCGAATGCAGCAACTACGCAGATTGTCGAGAGCAGCTGTCCCTATGTCGTACAAGACGTATATAAAGAGGGGAAAAGAAGGTTGTGAATTGGAAAGAAGCGTGCTTGTCAGCAAATGGGGGTAACCTCTCTTTGTATTCAGAGGTGGTTGCTCAATTCGGCATCGCTCGCCTTACCCCCTGAACATCGAGGACCTGGTCCCGCGTAAGTTGGGGTGCCACTCTACCGGCTCCATGCCGCAGGACAAATACTCGGGGCTCCAATCACCTGAAAGCTCAAGTTCAGGTTGATTTGGGAATAATCATCTACTAAGACTTATTAAATGGCTTTTAACGGCAGCTAAGAACCTGTGATTGGCTTTTCATGGCGCTGCTGAATCTATCTCCAACGGATTTTGTGTTGGTATCGATACTGATTTTGCATTCGCGTATGCCGTCATCAAGTTTGATTCAGGGCGCAGCTCTGAACTTCCAGGATTGTCAGGTCCCGTTTTTGCGGTGGCTCCGGGTCCATTGATTCTGTAGCTTTGTACCACCAATGAAGCCCAACGGATTAAGCCTCCGTTTTTAGCGAATCACTTTATTTGTATTACAGAACGTCAACATTAGACATTGTAAAGCTTGATCCTAGAGTAGATTTATTTCCGTCTACCGCTTAAAAGCTATCAAAAAAACTGTAAATATGTATTGTACAAGTTCCCCGCCACTTTGTCCGTTACCTTTTGGGCCAGTTCTACCATGAAGTCTCTAAAATCCCTTCAAAACTCCACCAGTCTTGTAAGAGACTGCCTGCCCTCTTTCCCTATATTCCCAGAAAATACATCAAGGACTATATGCCGGTACCTCGTCGGGACGAGGAGGATCCCTCTCACGATCTTCACTTTCATAATCAAACATTTCATCCACCTCAGTTTCATCCCCGTTAATGCCTAGTATATCTTTCTCGACATCATCTAGCTCCATTTCGTCATCTTCATCATTGTCTAGTCCCAAGATTTCCTTATCCATGTCGTCGAGGTTCTCTTCATTCGACTGTTTTCCGTTCCGACGACTTGCTCCAAGCCCCCGGGTTTGCTCGTCTTCGGTTTCGTCGTTGTCGCGAGCATCATGGCTATCTCCACTCTTGATCTGAGAAACACGCATCGTACCCATCACGCCCAACTTTAAATCCTTACGAGATTCCCAACGATCTAGTCGCCTTCCCGCTCGTCTGAAAGCCGCCGAATAAGCAGCCATCTCTTCACCAAAATCATCTGGCTCGGCTTCGAGTTGTACTAGTCCACCGAACCCTCGTTCCCTAAATGGCGCAGCGCTTTCTCGAGCCAGACTTTCCTCGCCCTCACTGTCATCATACGGATGTGGCATGAGATTGCTGCGCAGTAAGGCCCTGAAAAAGGCACCTTCACGTTTTCGATTCTTTCTAGCTTGGTGATGTTGCTTCCGTAAACCACGGCTAAGAATATAATCCACTCTCTGATTTCGATTTCGCTCGACGGCTAGCTGGTGGGCTGTAAGTGGTCGTGAACGTCTCATAGCTACCACTCCTTCCGGGTGAGGGACAGGCGAGGAACCATCAACGAACGGGTATTTGAGGTTGCCCCTGCCTCTGCCAGTATTCAACACACTATGAATTCCCATTCTCCCACCAAGAGCTCGAGGTGGTGGTGTCGAGCGAGTACTATCCATATCCGAGTCATACTTTGCCCTACCTCTACCACCTAGCATAGCAACTGGGCTGCCACTCAAGTCATCACTAAACTTTGGTCGCATTCTGCCTAACAAAGACGCAGCTGGACTAGGCCCACCATCATCAGGAGGCAGATGGAGTTTTGGTTTGGGACCTCTTTTTGGTGGGCCTTGCTCTGCTTGGAAAGCAGCCTGATCCGCCTCGATGATTCTTTTTCGTTCACGCTGTTTCATGACACCATATTCTACCTCCTCTGGAGTGTCAACATTTTCCAATGCCTCTTCTTCTGAGTCGAGCGGCTTGAGGTGTGGTACGCCTTGGTTCCGTACATCAACGCCATAATCAACGCCAGCTCCAAAAGGATTTTCTTCAGCGCCTTCTTCAGTAAAATCTGACTCCAGGTAAAACCACATCAGCCAAAGGAAAGCTTTGGCTCGTGATTCGCTCGATAGCTGAGTTCGCATAATCAAATCGTAGAAGTCCAAGGGCGGCGGGAAATGTAGTTCCGTAACCTTGGGCGCGAATTGCGCAAGCACGAAGATAAGATTGACTGGATTAGTACGGGGAACGTCTTTTCTCTTAATTCCTTCGAGTGAGTTGGGTTCAGGTTGGTCCTCGGAGGCACCCTTGAGTATTGATTTCAGTCGGGGAGCATCCTGCAGCTGCTTGTAAGAATTTGGGTCCTGATGTGCCTGAAGAGAGGGTATCGCATGATACGTTCGGAGCTGGGCTCTCATTTCTGGAAAGACTATCTGCGAATTAGCAAGCACAAGTTGTTTTGAGTGAGTCCACGTACAATTGAGGGTGGTATTCATCCGCCCTAAATTTACCAACAAGCAAACCATGGCCATGTTCTTGGCTGGTTCATGCTCCGTCAACAGCTTATCCCTTAAGATCTTACTCGTCTTACTACTTCGCGCCATTGCGTCGATGTATAGATTGGCAAAGGTTTGTTTCCCCAATGCTTCAGGCTCGTATGGATTCGTGAAACACTTGGTGTCATCTTCAAAGATCCTCTTCAGGAAATCGTACTGGATGTCCTTCCTCCACAAGGGCTCTCCATCATCCTTCTTCAAATGACGCACTTTGTTCCCCACGTACAGTGAACTGCCCTGTAGGGCTGCGGCCTGGGCTTCTTTTTTCTTCCTTCCTCCAGCCGTAGTCGGCGCAGAGGGCGCAGACGGCATTTCCTGTGTCATTTCGCGTGGAGTTCGTCCGTCTTCATCTTCCGTCACTTCGTCCCTCATTCGCGCAGCCGATGGAGATTGAGGTCGGGAATCAGAATTGTCGAGGACGTGGTGTAATGAGGATCTTGGATCTGCGCGAATGGGTGATGATTGCTGGGTGGTATTGTGGTCGTCGGCGTCAATCGTCGAGTCGTCGGCAGAGGATCGCACGCTGAGATCGGCCATCGTGCCTGATTGCCCTGTCGCGTAGGACACGCAAGGACATGTGACTGGGGTAGATCGAAATCTCCAGCTGAGCAGGAGATTCACATGTGTCGTGCTCGACCAGAGCAGACAGTCGGCGGTGGTGAGGAAGGGTTGCGCGGTTATTGTTGCAATCTGGTGACGTTGGACTTGAGGTGAGGTTGTCGTGCAGTCGAGCCCGTGAGGCACGGCACAGACCTCCAGCTGGTGGAACTCTGACGAACCTTGGAAGCGAAGAAGCTGGCAGCTCTGACCGTCGACCCCCGCTCGAGCCCCGGAAAAGCTTAAAATTAAAGCTACGAGCGACGAACAGCATGCCGGATTAAGATACATAGGGCTGGCTCTGGGCTGCCTCGAGACCGCCTCGAGGCCGTCTGCGCCCGTCTCCAGCTTCTTGCCAAGATGATCATCTCGAACCTCCTGGGGAGCGCAAGACCAGTAACACTTCGTCCTGTCGCATCCCCCGCAATCCCTAGAGCTATTTTCCTGATCCAGAAATCCAGAAGCTCTAAGCCAACGTCTCCACCCCAGCAAAAGAAACTCGCGGAGGGCGAATACCAGCGGTGAGTGGGAGCTTCGCGAGGGGGGCATTTCTATTTACGCACCCAAAGAGTAGGACTATCTACTTTTATCCCTTCCCCAACAAAAGAGCCCGCGATATGGCTTCTCATTTGCTCATCCCCTCAGCCGCTGAGTTTTCATAACGAACTTTATGCAGCCACCAGACATCCTTCATCCTGCTTTGAGCGTACAGCCTCTTCACTATTGTGCATTTGCCGAGGGACCTTACCACCTCCCCCCCTCGAGCTCCCCATGTTCAGCCCTCAGCGATCCCTGCACTCACGTTATTCGCGATAGCAGGCATGCACGGTACGTGTCTCGAGACGGGCAACACCCAGACGTACGGGTTGGCACGATTACGTGCCGACGCGCTGATGTTGGCCCGGTTCTGGAAGATGGTTGGCGTTGCACACAAACGTGTGGAAAAGCGCCATTGGAAAGCAGGAAACGGCAATGGGACGACACCAATACGACTAATAATGCTCCGCATCACACGCGGCTCTAATCCCCGACGAGCCCGATCCAGATGTTATCTCGATCGCATGTGTTGAGCTGAACGTGGATGATTGACGTTGATAACGCCTCGAACAATGCCTTGAAGGCTGTCACACGAGCCGCAGAAGCGAGTTTGGAAGGAATCAAGTTGAGATCTGGTTGAGGATCGACCATGGTATTATTCCGCAACAGAGGTGGGTCTAGCTTCCCCACGAAGCTCTTTGAAGAGCAATAATCTAATAGTACATGCAGAGCTGAGCTCTGAGAGATTGAAGTGAACGATGTCCCAGCAGTGCCTCGAGCACAGTGACTCAGGCCGGAGGAAAAGAGTCAAGTGTATGAAATCCAAACAGAACGCCCCCAAATCTCTATCCCTATAAAAGAAGTTTCAAGATACGCGTCTCCGAAATGACAAAGCCAAGAGTTCAAGGAAATAGCATCTCCTCGGAAGTAAAAGAAATGGAAAGTCCTGCCTAATCCGCCAAAGATGTTGCTCGCTTACGAAACCAAGTAATACCACATGCTCTATGCCAGGGTCCAAAGAAAAGATTCGGCTGTAACATGAGAAAACAGAGCAGAGAAACAGAAAATAGAGATGACCACATAAGTTCGTCAGGACCGTAAAAGAGAAAGTCATCCAGCAGCTGCCTCCAATTCTAGTCGTATTCCCCAAAAATCCCCGTCCTCCTATCTGGAGTGTCCACTTCCACTGCCGCTGCCATAATCGTAGTAAACTTGATCGTTATCCTCATAGTAAGTGTGATCTCGCTCGTAGTACTGTTCTTGTTCGTACGACGGTTCTTGCGAGCCATAACCTCCACTGTGGTGCATTTCCTCTCGGCTCGAGCCACCACCACCCCCGCGGTGGGATTCTGATCCTCTCGATCTTCCCTTGGAAACAATGTGTCGCATGTTTAGTCCACCCCAGGGCAAACCGTTGGGATCATTGTCTCTTCCCAGTTCATTTGGATCAGGAACACTGTAGGCGCGTCCTGCATGTGTTCTGTTCTGAGCATCTCTCTCCTCGCGGTCTTTAGCTTCTTTCGCTTTGTCTCCTTCTTCTCGTTAGAAAACCTACAATACGTTAGAAAGCAGTACTTACGGAACTTTCTTTGGGCGATTCGATTTTGAACGCGTCTTCTCTCTTCAGGGTCCGTGATGTCTGACCAGTCATCGGTTTTTGGTGGCTTGGGCCGCGATGATGAAGAGGAGGAAGAGTGCCCCTTTCCCTTGGAGGAGGAGGAGCTCGAAGCATGCCCAGATCGGTGAGAAGACGACATCTCGGTCTCGGTGTCTGATGATTCCTCGGTTGCAACTGGATTGCTATTTGGATAGTCGATTGTGATACGGGGTATCTCAAGAGTTGGTGTTGTTTGCTCTGCGGTTGACTCTTCGTCAACCTCAATGTCATTCAGCTGAATATCCTCGTCTACTATTGCTGTAGTCTCGGCTAGCTCGAGACTGTGAAGTGTACTTTCTTGTTCTAGTTGTTCGGTGGATTCGTTGTGAAGAAGCGAGATGTCCCTATTCATGATTAGTTAGAGCGCCAAAAGAAAAGTGAAACACGGACATCTACATATAAGTGGAAGTTAGGGGAGCTAAGACACGACGTCTATCCGGGGCACTGACAATTGTCGAGGGGATGGTTGGTATTTGTAAAGTGATATACTACTAGCGACGGAAATTTCCTGATATAGAGTCCCAAGGCTCTTGAAGTTATTTCGAGAGCGACAGAAAGGCAAGTGACAGAAAGTCGAGAGCACAGTTGCTAAGTGTATAAGTAGTGTATGGTGATGAGTAGTAGAAAAAGGAAAG